TCAAATAAATCATTCTTTGATTTGAATTTGATCAAATCAAATATTCAAATATCAAATCGAATTGCAGAACCCTATTGATGATGATGAAAACTCCTGTAATGTTGAACTATGGAAAAATGAATTTTTTCCTAATGATCATGACAGTATTATTCTGATGCATAATATTTGTACCAGTAAAATATAAATTTTCTATTCGTTCAAATGCTGTTGAATATTTAGCCATAAATCTGATAAATCGTAAATGCCATATTTGTTAACTTTTATTTTGTAATATAAATTTTTCATAATAAATCAAAACCTGATTAATATAATGCTGAATTATATACAATACAACAGTCAATTTATTATAATTTTTATGTCGAATTTTAAAGAATAACTAAAATTTTGCTGAACTGATTCATTTAAATGTTTGCTGAAAGGTCTTAGTATAAAAATAATACTAAATTATGTGTGTATCATAATTTTTTATCGATTTTTGTGACTTAAGCTGAATTTTGCTAAATCACATGATTAAATCGGCTGAATGTTTGCCGAATGGTATTAGTGCCGAAATAATGCTAAATTATGTATAATGTAACAAATGACTATCGATTTTTGTATTAGTGCTGAAATAATGCTAAATTATATATAATGTAACAAATGACTATCAATTTTTGTAACTTAAGCTGAATTTTGCCAAATAATATAACCGAATCGGCTAAATGTTTACTGAATGGTATTAGTGCTGAAATAATGCATAATGTAACAAATAACTATCAATTTTTGTAACTTAAGCTGAATTTTGCCAAATAATATGACCAAATTGGCTGAATGTTAATTGAATGGTATTAGTGCTGAATGAAATGATTTCGACTAGTGCAATCTTTTTGGGTTAAGCTATTGAATTTGTGATAATTAATACAAAACCTTAATTTTCCATTTTTCTTTTATACTGGTATAACAAGTGATGTTCAAGGACTTTCATATGGTTGAATTAAATCATTTTTTAGCATTTTATTGATTTCTTTCTTAATAAAGTCTTGTTCAGGTAGAACTATACAGTAAGCTTTTTGTCTAATAGAAATTGATACTTCAATTGGTATATAATGGTTTTCAACCTTAGTATATCCTAGTTTAAAGAGGTTGTTGGCAAATAAATTATTATTTTGTTTTAACAGTGTTGTTATTTGCTATTGTTGTGAAATGGTCAAGTTTGTTGCAGTTAGCAGGGTGGACATACTTATATCACATGTCGATCATTTTGCCGATCATATTTTGTATTATCACATCAGCGTTTGC